TAATCACCTCTCAGTTATTGTATCTAAGTTCACACACAGCTTGATGTGTTGAAAAAATTAGTGAGCATGTTTCCCACACTTATCATGCTCGCAGTACCTTGCTGGGTTTCTCTTGTCTATCTAGTGAGTCCTTGCAATGTCCCTGATGATATTGTAGCAGCCAGAGCTCCAGGGGACATTATCATTGGAGGACTTTTCCCAGTCCACAAAACGATAGAAAATCTGGCAAATCGGACTCAACCAGGACCATTACAGTGCTCAGGGTATGTTTTGCATCTTTGTTAATGAGTTTTGTTTTGATTTGATTCAATTACAGTCTTCTTTTAAGAACGTACTTATATTCATTGAAGTTGTGTGAGATGTTTGAAGGAATGTAAGGAAAAAAATGGAGGAAAGAATGAAAAGAAAAATTACATTTTGTCATGATCTTATCAAAGAGTTAGGAAGTCACAAGTTCTTCACAGCCAACGGAGTACTTTGGCTAACACTAATCTTAACCTAATCCAGCAAATGAAAATCTTAAATTAACTAAAAATGTTTTCTATTTGCAGTCTACAAATATTATACAAAATAACAATGCTATCAGAATGTGAGCGGAGTGTACGAGGGACTGTGATATGTGAGGATGGCAATAATGCAACGAAAAATGAAATCAGACTCTCTCTGAGTGTTTGGGCTAACTTTGTACTTTCGGAAATAGAGCAGATAATTTGCTAATTTCAAGGTTTCACAAACCACAATCTGATAAGTGATCAGTTGTAGTGATTTTAGGTTAAGGGATAATATTGGAGAACTCCCCTGCACCTTTTTTAGAGTAGTATTGTGAGATTTTCTATATCTGTCTGGAAGGACAGATAGAAATCTCCATTTAAAATTTAATCTTAAATACAGTATTTCTGCAGTGCAGTGGTTGAGACCTATTTTGTTATTATCTGTGAAGGTAACAATGAAGGTTGCAATGAGTGTTGCCATTTATTCTAAAAAGAAAGAGAAAGCCATTTTTATGTATTACATGTAGTAGATCTGCAATCAATTGCATTACAGACACATAAAAGTCTCTGTGCACCTTAGATATTTTTCACTCTCATTAGTGCAAATTCAACACAGCACCAAATGTAAACTGAAAAGTGAAGAATAATTCACCAGTTCCAGATTTCCTTGTTGTGCAAATTGGTGCTAATCTGAGTCACACAATGCCCAAATTTGTGCATTGTTATGCTTGTAAACAAAAGCTATTGTTACATTGATCCATATCTTTGTTGTGGGTCATTTTATGAATTCTACATACCTGTGATGCACTTTGAGGTGCAGTACAATGTGCAAAATAGTTGTCCTAGTATATAATAAAGACTCAAATGATCCAAACAACTGTCAAAAACGGATTCAGCAAAGATTTTCAAAAAGGTAGATCAAAGGCGTGGAAGGGATTGATTCACTTTCTGTTAGGATTTAGCCAATTAAATTGAATTTTCTGCATTGTGATCTCTCATCTTACCTTTATGTCTCCCTTGCTCAGTTTCAAATTGATGCAGGTGTCTGCATGTGTATGAGCATCATGTGTGGCTGAAGGAAAATAATGTTTTCTTAAAGTAAGAGGAGCTTTACAGAATCATTAAATTATACGGCAAAGAAGAAAGTCATTTTATCGTTTTATCTGTAATAAATCTTTGAAAATGTCATCCAGTTAGCCCAACTCTTTCCCATAGCCTGAGAATGCTTCCATATCAAATATTTATCCAATTTTCTTTTGAATTTTTTATGAATCTCACCCACCTCTCAGATGCAATGGTGTTTTTCATATCATAAGAATTCTACTGCTTATATTCAATTGAGATGGATCACCTTGACTTCTTTTGTTACTGACACTTACGCGAGTGAAAGCATTTTCCTTTATTTACTCTATTATTTACTCAGGTTGGGCTGCATTAAAAATAACAAATAAGCAGACAGGATTTAGACATTTTCTACAGCAAATCAAAGATGCAACAGGGATTTGAGCACAAGAACAAGCATCTTTTATTTGAGAAATTGGACAATAGAAGAAATTTGGTAAAGATGGCTTGATGAATATTTAGGAGACTGAAGGTGAACAAATAGTGTCTAAAATTCTTTTGGTCAAAATACATTCTCTAAACTGAAACAATCGGGACACCAACAAAGTAAACATTCAAGAAGCCAAGCTTTGAGGTGATGAGAAACTTCAAAGCAGTGCAGGCAGGGCATGGCCAAAAGTCGGCCATGTTTTAGAAGGGAATTAAGGCTTTCTTGGATCTAGATTGGATAAGGTAGAAAAATGCTTGCAGAAAATCAAAGAGAATGGCTTTACTTTTTCGAAATTTAAGATGGACAAGTCATCGAAGTCTAAACGTCAGGAAGGGAAATTTAGAACTAGGGAGACGGATTCAAAATAAATGGTCTCCCATTTAAGGTGGAGATCAGAAGGAATTTCCTATCTCAGGAGGTCTTTAATCTTTGGAACACCTTAATGCAGAAAGCAGAGGAGGTTTGTCATTTAATACATTACAGGCTTATGCGAACAGATTTTTAATCTATAAGGGAATCAAGAAGAATAGGGTTCAAGTTGAAATGTGAAGATTTACCGAGATTTGATTGAATGTTGGACTAAGTTCAAAGATCTATTCCTGCTCCAATGTCCTATGTTCTTATAATAGTGTGCTAAAGTGCTCCTAATGCCCAGCAATCTTAAGGATAGCTCAAAATACGATCCCAGATCTTCCAACTACTATCACAACACGTCTGACCAATAGTAATCCTATTATAAAATGTCCACTTACCTGTCAGTAACTTTCATGGTGGTTTTCCGCACCTGGCCTGTCCTGAATGTGACAATTGTAGGACACTGGCTACAAATCCACTCAGAGCAGGGCTGGGGATGGAGGCCAAGACACAGCCTCTTTTCATAGCAATAGCTGCTGTATTCCAAGGAGAAACATTGTTAGAAGTCACAAAGCTTTTTTTAAAGCAAGTGAGAGAAGGTATGTGCATAAAGCAAGTAGGATAGGGATCAGAGTGGCAGGTGGGTTAAGAGGAAGCAGGGATGCCAGATGGATAATTGGCTAGGTGGCAGCTGAGATAGTAAGATAGAAGTTGGGTGAGGTGGTTGGATGGCAGCTGGAAGAGGGGTATGGTGACAAGTGGATAAGGTGATGGGGAATCAGGTGGGTGAAGAGGTAGTGTGCTGGGCTAGGGTTTCAGGCAAGAAGGTCAGGGACTATTGTGACAGGTTTGTGAGAAATAGGGTACCAGATGGGTAAGAGTGCAGGATGAGTAAGGGGGGGTTGGTGGTGGGGGGGAATGGTTGACTGATAAATGAAATGATGCGGGTACAAGGTAAGGGGGAAGGGTATCAGAAGGTGGGGAATGTTTGGGGGTCACAGGGGATGTGGGGATGCTGTTCACAGAGTCCCCTGGCCAGAGGGGTTGCTAGGTGGATTGGGTGGGGTCACTGAGTGGTGGTGCAGTTCAGGTGTCCAGGTGGAGGAGGTCAGCCTGTCCACCTGATGGTCAGGTTGACAGACAGGCAGATAACTGAGTTGGATGGAGTGGGGTCATTGTTGTCTGGGGTCGAGGGCTTAGATTCTAGTGTCCATTGGTGAAGGGAGGTGTGTGTGTGTGTCTGTCTTTCCAGGGAGAGATTTCTCTGCAAGACATTGGGGTCAGTTTTACAGTCAATTATAAGACGTGGAACTTTATTTATTTCCATCTAAAAGTCGAAACTATATCAACTCTAATGTAAACTGATCACCTTTTGGTCTTTACAAGCACACCACAATACTTTGTGATATAATATTCCATATGTTTCTTTATAATTATGAAAAATCTATTGTGTTTTATTTCTCTCTAGATTTGATCCTTCCATGTTTCTCCATGTCCAAACTATGATATATACAATCGAACAGATAAACAATTCAACCTTCTTACCTGATATAAAACTGGGATATGAAATTTATGACAGCTGCTCCAATGTTATCGCTGCAATACAAGCAACCCAAAGATTTCTTTCCAAATTTAACTCCTCAGACAGCAGAATTGAAGTTCATTGTAATTACACTAAATACAATCCAAATGTAAAAGCAGTTATTGGGGGCTTTTACTCAGAAATATCAATTGTAGTTGCAAGATTGTTGAATCTTTACCTTATTCCACAGGTACGTATATTTATTTTTTTATTCTCTGAAAAGTAACATTGTTCTTCAGTTCAGCTGTTTTAATTGTTTTTGGATGTGGCCATTCATGCCAAGACCAACATTTATTCCCAGCAGTTCTCTAGTTGCTCTTTGTACGGGGATGGTGGATGTTCTTCTCGAAGCACTGCAGATCATGAAGTTCAAACGTTAGGTTTGGACATCCAGAAACTTTACCATGGCACATTGAAGGAAGGTGACGTATAACTAATGAGGATGGTGGGTAACTTGGGACGAACCTTGGAATTGATAGTTTTTGCCTGCACTCATCCTTTTAGCGAGTGGATTGGGTTTTCAGGTTAGGAAGATGATTGGAGAAGAAAATCTGGACTAGTTGCTGCAATGCATGGTATAGATAATAGTTACTGCAGCTACAATATGCTAATGCTGAAGCGGGTGAGTTTTTAATTCAATAATTAGAATGTCAGTCAAGAAGATTTCTTTGTTTTGAATGGCACAAAAGGTGATGGCCTGATGGTTTTATCGCTAGCTTATTGATCTGGAGACCCAGGTAATGTTTGGCGGATCTAGGTTGAAATCACACCATGGCAGATAATGAGATTTGAATTCAATAAAAAACCTGGAATTAAAGTCCAATGATGACCTTGAAACCATTGCCAATTGTCAGAAAAATATTTGGTTCACTAACATCCTTTTGGGAAGAAAACTGCCATCCTTACTTGCTCTGGCCTACATGTGACTCCAGACCCACAGCAACATGGTTGACTCTCAACTACTTTTTGGGCAATTAGGAATGAGCACTGAATGCTAGCTTAGCCAGTGATGCCTACATCCTGTGAATGAATTTTAAAAAAGTTACTTGAGTGTTGTAGAAATGGAGAGAATTTCATTGCAATTCTGAATCATTATAATCCTCTGGGGAATTCTGAAGTAAATCACTTGCCACAAAACACTCAACTTCCAGCATCCACAGCATTTATCTAACCAGCTTAGTTCAGTGTCTATTCAGGAGGTTAATTGTGGTGATTTGATGATGGTAATGCATTAAATGTCAAGGAGAGATGATTATGTTCCATTTTTGGGGACGTAGTCATCAATTGATATCTGTGTGGTGCAAATATCATCTGGCACTTACTGGACCACAGTTAGATGTTGTCCAGGTCTTGCAGCATGCAGTCGGGCACTTCTTCATTGTCTAAGGAAATGTGAATGGAACTGAACTGTACAGTCCTCAGTAAGTGGATCCATGTCTGACTCTATGAAGGAAGACAGATCATTGATGAAACTTTGTAACACAGTTATAGAATGTTGCTGTGAGAAAATCCCACTGTGATGCCCTGTAACTGAATTAATTGGTCTCCAATCTCTATCATCAGTCTCCTTTTTATGTAAGATGTGACATAAGCTGCTGAACTGTCCTTCCCATCCCCTTGAGTTTATTATAAAACACGTTGTGCTACAAATCACTTAGCGAATTCAGCTTTTTTGTCCATGGTGAGGCTCAGGATGCACTGCAGTCTGAGCCAAGTAGTTCTGAACATGATCAATTTACAGCAGTAAGTGCTCGATGAATATATGTTGCTTGATTTCTTTGCTGGTGTTTGAAATTTGGATCAGAAATTGTCATGTACACTACAACTTCGAAACAGTAATCACCAACAGTTGGAACAAAAAGATTAAAAAATAAACTCAAACATAAACATTTACAAAAACAAAGCTGCAATATTAATTCAAATGTGTTGATGAGAAGGTGCCGGTGTTCAACTGGGATGGGCAAAGCCAGATATCGCATGACAGAGGGTTCGAGTCCAACAGGTTCATTTGAAATTACAAGCTTTCAGAGCGCTGCTCCTTTGTCAGGTGAAGTCTTGATTTCACCCGAGGATGGAACAGTAATTCAAAAGTCACACTGATGAAAACTCCTCTGAGCTTTCAGATAGTGATGGCACAAATCAGGGTTCAGACAAGGAAAAGCTTAAATATGATTTTTGATGTGGCTGAAGTACACAAATTCAGGATCATGGCAGCCACACTGCAACTTGGTTTCAGTATCCTTGAGGGAAGAAGCTGCAAAATCAGACAAGGACTCCATGCTTATTTTTATTCCATGATTGCAACATCAAAATATAGTTGCAGGTGTGTATGTGTACAAGTCGCTGTATTTGAAAGATACCCAGAAGTGGAAACAGGAATCCATGAAGCAACACTGCTGCCCACAGAATGGGAGTCACCCAATTGTTTTCTGTGTTGGGCGGGTGGTGAGAGAGGGGAGGGAATGAGCATGTTTAGTGATAATGAACAAGCTGCTCCTAAATAATGAGAAGACTCACTGGATTGCCTATGAGTCAGCTCAACAACAGCAAGGGTGAGTGTCTCCCTCAGGCACCTCAACTTTCCCAGTCAGGAAACTAGTCAGCTTTCTCTCCCACTGGGAAGGCTGTGATCGGTGAGGTAATTAGATTAAGTTCCTACATGGCCATTAATCGATGACTTAATTGATGGAGAGTCAATAAACTCACCCATGGACTTTCTCAGCCAGAGAAATTGCAGAGGCGGTGAGAACGGGGCAAATGTCTCTCAAGGTAAACTCACCCAAATATTTCCCCTTCCCATGATCTCCAGAAAGGAGAAAGTCTCACCCATATATTGAGATATGAAGGTTCACTGCTCATGTTCGCTAATAACTAATGGCCAATGACTTTATGAGTGGCAGTAAGATTCAACTTGTCTGATTAACTGCATCAATCATCAAATGCATCATAGCAACAATGCATGTGCACTCTTTCTGCTCTGGCATAGTTTTTGTGGAGGATTTTATTCATAGGCCTGTAGAAAGTACGGTTTCTATACAGTGCAGTAAAAAGTTTTCCAATCTATTATGTTTTTTGTAGTGCAGGTTAGCATGGTCTACCAGCTACAGCTCTTAGAGTGGTTTTACAAAATGAATTTTAAACAGTGAAAATCATTGCTTGCTCTCCAATTTGCAAGGGCATTCTTAGAATCTTAAAGAATGAGGAAAGTGTGAGGTTATGACCAATCCACAACATAAGTTTTCTATGCAGGTGGAAAGTTGAAATTCTACAGCAGAGTGACATTACGGTACTTCAATTATTCTGAGCTGAACTGAGTAGAACAGAATTAGTCTTGAATTATGAGACTTTTGGCTGTGGGCTCAACGTTAGTAATCCCAGAAAGAATTTATACAAACTTATTATTCATTGTAAAAAGAAGGACAAGTTCTGTCTCACACTTGTAATATTCAATTAAAAATATTTGCTCGAAATGGTACATGCCCACATTTAAGCATATAATTCTAACAATGCAAAATTATTTTGTTTTGAAATATTGCCTGGTTTTTTGAACTCTTGATAGGTCAGTTATGGATCAACAGCAGAAACACTCAGTGACAAGACAAAGTTTGCGTCATTTTTACGGACCATTCCAAATGTCAATCATCAAACTAATGCCATAACCAAACTTATGCAACACCTAAACTGGAAACGGGTCGCGGTTATTGCTTCTGACGATGCATATGGACGGGCTGGATTGAACAGTGTTATCTCACACGCAGCATGGCGCAATATATGTGTTGAATTTCATGAATTGATTCCAATTTTTAAGGATGAATACCAAAAAGCTAAAATTAATGCAACAGCTGAAATGATTATTAAGTCAACTGTACGCGTTATCATCGCATTTGTAAGATCATCAGAAATCATCAAATTGTTCACCATATTGATCCAACGGAATATAAGTAAAATCTGGATTGCCAGTAATGTCTGGTCCACTTCTCAGGTGATTGCCAGTATTAATAATATTGAAAAGATTGGAACTATTTTGGGCTTTACATTCAAAGGTGGAACAATTCCAAATTTCAAAGATTACTTAAAGAAGTTGCAGTCTTACCCCTCTGATGCTGACAAGATTATTAAAGACTACATAAACTTTGCAAATAGAAGAGATGAAAAGAAACCAACTCGGAAAAATTCAAACTCACAGGGAAATAAATCTCAAGAATGTTACCAAATTGTTGAAATTTTTAATGAACCTGGCATCTATGGTGTATACTTAGCCGTCAAAGCAATAGCTTATGCTCTTCAGGAAATGTTTAATTGTACCCAAGGAAACTGCAACCAAAATTTTAATTTCCCACCATGGCAGGTAAACATATGTCAAGATTCTTTTTATATTACATTGGCATCTACAGAGCCTTAACAGCAAAACCTCCTGCCTGATTCCCATGCCTTCGTCATTCTAAGAGTGGATTAATCCAACTCTTTCTTAACTGGTACTCAGTCCCTTCACTACCTTCAACACTTCCAGAGCTTTACAGCTTCTTTCCCATTCCAAATGGCTCTGACCTCACTTTTATATTGATCTGTCACTGGTACAGAAGCTTGAACACACCCACCAACAGGTTCATGAATAGCTTCTTTCCTGCTGTTATTAGATGGCTGAATGAACCTTTCTAACTTTAAATAAACTTGATCTTGTTACTGTTGATCTTGCTTTGTGCACTTCCTGTGCAGCTGTAACCTCATATGCCTTGCTTTGTCTAAGCACCCTCTGATCTCTATTTCCTTGTTTGCTATGATCTGCCTGTACGGCTCGCAAAACAAAACTTTTCACTGTACTTAGGTACATGTGACTACAATAAATCAATCAGTCCTACCCCAGTCATCTTCTCTATGTCAATCCACCATATAAACACTTCAGACATCTGTCTCTGACCTAGTCTGCACACTTTCCACTTCAAATTTATCTTTAGTAAGCTACTATTTGTGTCTCCCTGCACTTTCAAATCTCTTCACAAAACGTTATCTTTAGAGCTAATATTAATTTTCATCACTCTGTAAGAAACAGACAAGAAAAAAATCAATCAGCTATCTTTTTACTGGTGTTATTCTTTGTCACTTTGTTTGCATCCATGGAAGCCTCACTATTGCTTGTTTTTATCGCCAGCTGATAAAAGTTATAATTCTCTCCTTTCCTTGGCTTTTGACCCCTAACTTTGTCTGTTTTCTATTCAGTGTCACTCACCCTCCCTGAAAGCTCCAATCTAGCTCAGGAGCAGATATTACTGAGCTGTGTGAACACTAATGTCAGCATCATATTGGGGAAGCAATGTGAGAAATATTCTTTAGCAGATTAGAAAAAATAATTATACTCCAAAGAAGTAAAATTAAAGTGCACTTATCTCTTTACTAACCTTATAATTACTGATCTACTACTGTATATAAATATTATTTAGATGAGGAAAGACTGAAGAAAGCCACAGCACTGAGGGATTTGGGGATCTCAGTGCATGAATCACAATGGATAGTAACCAATTTTGGCAGGTAATAGGGAAGGCAAATGGAATGCTGGCCTTTATTTCAAAGGGAATGGAGCATAAAAATAGCGAGATCTTGCGAAAACTTGTTCAGACTTATGGCTGGAATTCTGTGAAAAGTTCTGGGCTGATTATCTAAGAAGAGACGTACTGACATCAAGTTGATCACCATACTGATTCAACGGAATATAAGTAAAATCTGGATTACCAGTGATGTCTGGTCTAATTCTAGGTAGGTTGTCAGTATGAATGATATTGAAAAGATTGGAACTATTTTGGGCTTTACATTTAAATGTGGAACAATTCTAAACTTTAAAGATTACTTAAAGAAGTTGCAGTTTTACCCCTCTGATACTATCAAAATTATTAAAAGGCACATAAACTTTGTAAATAAAAGTGATACAAAGAAACCAATTTGGAAAAATTTAAACTCACAGGGTCCAGGGAGGTCCAGAAAAGCTTTACCCGGTTGATCCTGAGTACGGAGGGATTCCCTTATGAAGAGAAGTTGTGTAGTTTGGGCCTGTACTCTTTTGATGTTTAGGAGAATGAAAGGAAACATTCTGGGCCCCTTTTCTAAGAAAAGATATACAGCCATTGGAAGAAGTCCAGACAAGGTTTATTCAGTTGATCCTGAGTATGGAGGGATTTCCTTATGAAGGGAGATTGTGTAGTTTGGGCCGGTACTCTTTGAACGTTTAGGAGAATGGAATAAAACTATCAAAATGGATAAAGTTCTTAGGGAGACTCACAGAGTAGACACGGAAAGTTGTTTCCCATTGTAAGGCAGTCAGGGAGTGGAGGACATGATCCCAGAATAAGAAGTCACCCATTTAAGACAGAATGAGGAGGAATGCTTTTCGGGGACGGTGGTGAACCTGTGTAAATCTTTACTGCAGAGGACTGTAAATAGCTGGGTCACTAAGGATATTCAAGACTGAGAGAAACAGAATTTTAATCAGTCAAGGGATTCACTGACTATGGGGCAAAGACAGGAAAGTGGAGTTAAGGATTATCCGTTCAGCTATATTCTAACTGAATGACAGAGCAAAATCAGTGGGTTGAATGCACTGCTTTTTCTCATATATCTTACTGTCTTATGGTCTTATCTCCTCATCCATGGAAAAGGTAAATCCCTTCAAATGTTTTGCAGGGAGCTCATTCATTTCCAGAGTTAGCTGAAATGGATACATGAACACAAAACACAGTTGTACTTCTTCTTTGGAAGTAATGGCAGTGACAATCCTCTGACATTTGCTGTTTCATACTGACATGATAAAGCTAGAAAGGAATACAAAACCACACCAAATCAAATAGAAGAAAGAACTCATGATGCTGGAAATCTGAAACAAAAAGAGACATTTCTGGAGAAATGTTTTTGCTCTAATGACCCTTCTTCAGAATGTTTTCAAGTAGACTCATTGGACCTGAAATGTTAATTCTGCTTTCTCTCTATTGATGCTGCCATACCTGCTCAGTTTCTCCAGCAATTTCTGTTCTTGTTTCAACCAAATCAAACCCTTGTCAATTATAAACTCTCACCTTAACACACAATAGTCGTAATTCCTTCAGTCACAATACCAGTGTTGTAAAGACTGTCTCTCTCTCTCTACCCAAGCCCCACTCTAGCCTAAGACTGTTACTCTACTTGTAGAATCCTAAGGTGTGCATTAGTTCTTTTTTGTACTTTCAATATTTGAACTTCCAATAACTAAAGAATGTTCTATTTTCAGTTGTTAAATGAATTGAAGAACGTTAAATTTAAGACAGACAATGAGCAATTTGAATTTGACAGTTCAGGAGATTTCTCAAATGGATATGACATAATCAAATGGAAGATGGAAAATGGTTCAACACAGTTTGTCAATGTTGGTAACTACGATGTGAAAAAGCAAATGATTGCTTTCTGCAGAAACTTAGCAGAGGTGAGTTATTCCAAACAATTAAGAATGGATGTGGTGGTCTTATGTACTACTTTTTCTCTGTATCTTTTTCAAAAACAAAATCTAATATAAAGTAATTTTTGTAGAATTTGTAGGTTAGATTTTAAAGCTAGCAAATTAATTTATTATTTCCAAATGCACACGGGTTTAAGGTAAAGCTGAAATTTCATAAACAAGTATTTTTTTAAAATGTAAAATTATGCAGAAATTTATGCAAATATAAAATTAATTTTTTCAGGACCAGTGAAAGTTTTCAGTATTAATTGTAAATTTAGCATACTGTGTCAAACCTAGTTACACCTAATTCAACCAGTTGCAACTTTTTCAAAAGATTTGCATCATAATTAATTGCAAACATAGGCAAATTCTTATCAATGCAATAATTTCTACCCAATTGCAGTCAGTGGGGACTTAAACAATGCACTGTATAGGGAGGCTCAGATATAATGACAACCTCTGAATTTAATGCCAGATTACCTGAAAAGTGGCAAACACAGTCAGATTGTCAAGCCACACAAAGAATGAAGTCTGCATTTCTGAAAGGAAGCTTATAGTGCAGGATGGGCAGCGGAAGTCAAAACAGGCCCCCTTTCCGAGCATAGAAAGTAGGAGTGGGCCATTTGGCTCTTCGAGACTACTCCACCATTTAATATGATCATGGCTGATCTTCTGTCTCAATGCCATATTCCTGCTGTTGCCCTATACTCTCAATGTCTTTAATAATTAAAATTGTATCAGTCTCTTTCTTCAATATGCTTGGGATTACACAAAATCAGGGCTATGAAAGAGAAATCATGTTTAGCTAATCTCATTAAGATTAATTAGTGCCCTAGTCTCCATAACAATCTGTGGTAGCAAATTCCACAGGTTGACCACCGTCTGAGTGAAAAATGTTTCCTCAACATAGTCCTAAATGATCTACTCCGTATCCTGAAACTGTAAACCCTGGTTCTTGACTCCCTAAACAGGAAACCATCCTCCCAGCATTTAATCTACCTCGCCTGTTAGAATTTTAAACATTTCAAATAGATCCACCATCATCTTTCTAAACTCTAGTGAATTCAGGTCCAGTCAAACCAGTGTGTCCTCATATGAAAATCTTGCCATCACAGGTATCATCCAAGTGAACCTCCATTGCACTCTTTCAATGGCAAATATATCCTTTATTATGTAGAGACACCAAAACTGCACAAAAGACTCCAGGTGTGAGCATACCAAGATCATATATAACTGCGTTGAAAGGTCCTTACTTCTGAACTCAAATCCTCTTGCAATGGAGGCAAACATAGTATTTGCTTTCCTAATCGCTTGCTGCATCTTCCTGTTTACTGTCATTGACTGGTGTACAAGAACAAATAGGATCACATTGTACGTCCACACTTTACAATCTATTATCATTTAAATAATACTCATCCTTTTTGTTTTTCATACCAAAATGTATAACTTCACATTTATAAATGTTATACTGCATCTGCCATATGTTTGCCTGCACACTCAATATGTCTAGCTTATCCAGAAGCCTCTTTGCATCCTCTTCACAATTCACAAACCCATCAAAGCTTGTGTCGTCAGCAAACATTTGGTTCTTTCATCCAGGTCATTTGTTGTGAACAGTTGGGCCCTAAGCACTGATCCCTGTGGTACATCACTAATTATCATCTACCAGCCAGAAAAAGACTAACTTATTACCACTCTGTTTCCAGTCTGTCAACCAGTTCTCAATGCACACCAATATATTACCCACAATCCCATCTGATTTAATGTTGCTCACTAGCTTTTTATCAAAAGCCTTCTTGAAATCCAAATACATCACATCCATTCATTCAATTTTATCTATTTTACTAAATACATCCTCAAAAAACTCCAGCAGATTAGATAAACATAATTTCATTTTCATAAATCCACACTGACTTTGTCTAATCACGTTATTGTTTTCCAAGTGTTCTGTTATCATGTTTTTTGTACGACTTTAGCATTTTCCCACTACTGATGTTAACTAGTCTGTAATTGTATTATTTTCTCTCCCTCCCTTTTTTAAATAATGGGATTACATTTGCCACCTTCCACTATCCACAGTCTATAGATTTTTGGAAGATAACCATCAATTCATCCATCATTTCCAGGATCACTCCCTTTTGTACTCCACAATGCAGATAACCAGACTCTAAGGACTTGTCAGCCTTTAATCCCATTAATTTCTCTAACACCACTTCTTTCCTAATACATTTCCACCCTCCCAGTACACCCCTGGTTCCCTAACATTTCTGAGAGGTTACTTGTGCCCTCTTTTGTGAAAGCAAAACCAAAGTAAGTATTCCATTCTTCTGCTATTTCTTTGATCCACATGTTAATTTCCACCATGTTTGATTGTAAGGGACCTACATTTGTCTTCACTAGTCTTTTTCTCTTCATAGATTTACAGAGGCTTTTAATGTGAGTTTTTCAGTACCTTTGTTTACTTTCATATTTTTTTTTTTACTTCTGATCAATTTTTTTGTCCTGTCTTGTTAAATTCTAAGCTGTTACTAGTCCTCAGGTTTGCTGCCTTTTTCTGGCAAGTTTATGTGCCTCCTCTTTGGATCTAATACCATCCCTAATTTCTTTTGTATGCCATGAATGAGCCACCTTTCCTGTTTTATTTTTGCACTGGATAGGAATGAATAATTGTTGTAACTATTCCTTAAGTATTAACTGTTGCTTATCTACTGCCTACCCTTTTAGTAAGGTTCCCCAACCCATACTACATATCCTCACAGTTCCCTTCATTTAGATTCAGGACCTTAGTTTCAGATTCAACTTCTTCATTCTTCATCATCATGAACAAATAATTTAATGATCACTCTTCACTTTCAGAATACTTGTTGCCACATTCTGTGATCGAAAAGCCTACCACTTCTCACAACTGCTTTGACAGCTTCTGTGAATAGATAAGTGAGAGGGGTCATGATGCCAAGTAGGTTGGGTGCCAGGTGGTTAGGGTACAGAGTGACAGGTAGACTATTTAAATAAGTGATGGACTACTTTGGATAAGTTGGTTCAGTCAAGGAGTATTGGGTCTAGTGGTGAACCTGGGGAAGGTCCTGAGGGGAACGAGAGTGCTGCCAACTCTGCCAATGGGAGAAGGGTTGTTTTGCAAGGAGGCAGATATCTGACAACGATGGTGATAGGTTGTGTCAGTGTTGGGTCTGGTAACGGGATGATGTTGCGTGTTGGTGAAAGAGTGGGTGTCAGATTTCCATGGAAAGTGGGGGTGTTGCCAGGTCCTAGGGGGCAAGGGGGTTGTCAGCTCGAGTGTTGGGGGTCTGTCAGATTCTAGGTGCAGTGTGAGGTGCCGGACGTTGGGAGAAGGGGGTTCTTGAGTCCCAGACAGAACGGTGCTGTTGGGTCAGGGTTCAAATAGTGCAAGGGGTCTGGGGAGGTATAGTTGTGGATTTGCTAACTTGGATGCAGTTTAATAGTCACACATGAGCTAGGCTAGATTATTAATTTTCTAACTTTCCCTGCATAACTATTAATTTAACTGCAGCATGACCCTTCGAATTCTGTAATTTAGATGGATACTTTCAGAAGGAAATTGGTGTGATGGAATTGACATGGTAATGTTAAATTTCAAAGGCAATTCCTTGGGAGCCTGCTATGTCAGGAAATCTACAGCATCCTGATGCAAATTTCCCATCTACAATGCAGAAACAACTATCTGGCCTTTGGAAAATCCAGGTGTATGTATTTAACTGCCCTGCGCAGACTCCAGACAATACAGTCAGTTTCAGAGGATTAATAAGACAAATACTGAAAATTTAATTGTTATTACTAATACAAAATCCTAACCATCCTTGCCCAAGATTGAAATTTGACTCATTTGTCTTGAATTGTTGGCTAGATATTGTTTGGACTGGCTCCTGCTACAAATTTGTTTCACACAGAGTCCTGATGACTGTAAAACATTTACATTCTGTTTGCCAAAGAGTGGTTTATGTGCCAATACCATAACTGAAACTAAGAATTGCTTATCCACTGCATCATCACACTTCCTTGTAACCTTGAACTAAAGTTGTATCCTATTTTGTTTCCCATTATCATGGGATCATAGAATCCTTACAGTGTGGAAACAGGCCATTCGGCCCAACAAGTCCACACTTCCCATCTGAAGAGAATCCCACCCAGACCCATTATCCTGCCCCTGACTTCCCATGTCTGACCCACCCAATCTAAACATCCCTGGGCACTATGGGCAATTTAGCATGGCCAATCCATCTACCCTGCACATCTTTGAACTGTGGGAGGAAACCAGAGCACCTGGAGGACCACACAAACATGGGGAGAATGTACAAACTCCACACAGACAGCTGCCCAAGCATGGAATTGAACCCAGGTCCCTAGTGCTGTGAGGCAGCAGTGCTAACCACTGAGCCACTGAGCCACCGTGCCACCCCAGCTTGTCGTACTTTTAAGCTGGCTATATTGTTGGTTTGAGCTAGCAGCTTAGGAGAAACACTGTCAACAAAATCTTCAGTCACTCATGTGCTTTTATATAATGTTTATCATAGGTTCCAACCGCTAATTGTTCACAAAGCTGTAGACCCGGAGAAAAGAAGACTACATCAACTAAACATTTCTGTTGTTTTGAATGTAATCGCTGCCCAGCAGGATCTTACTCTGAAAAAAATAGTAGGTATCAAATGAGAGATGGTACAGAGAAAATTCAGTGAAACGTATTGCATATGTAGCTATATGCACAAACAGTGAAATTGTACTTCAATTTTTTTAAAGTTATTTTGAATGTTTTACACTTGGTATTGATTGCAATACTACAGTCGAATCATGGAGAACCGTTAATCGCGAGATTGCAGATGAGAGCAAAACTGAAGTAGTTTGATTTTAATGTGAACTCCAAAGGTAAAATCCAAGCTTAAAGTCATTATTGATTCTCATTACTTTTATAGCATGTGAACTTGAGTCCCCTCCCCTCATTTGGTCAGTGA